CATCTGGGTCTGTTTCCTTTTCAGCATCTTACACTATCAATTTCACTCACTATTGTCTCATTTATTTAAAACCTACCTGCCAATTCTATGTCATGTTATAATGATTAGCAATACCTTATACGGCCAAGTTAATGCCTAATTAACTAATTACTTCTGTATGGTTTGAATCTTTAAAACAATAAAGTACTAATGAATTACTTGCTTAATTAAATATACAGTTTAAAGAACAAAAGAAAAGCATTGTAAGGGTGGGAACTTCGGTGCAGGGCAACATTTTCAATTAAGCGGGCCTTTTGCTGTCCCTCAAGCCACACCCACGGGTAGCCACCGACTGTGCCTGTGCATTTGGCTTGATTATATCTGAACCATTAATAACACAGGGCACATTTTCTTGTACTTTAGAAACCTGGGAAGGGGAGTCCATTTACTTACTAGGAACCACCAATATCTGAAAATCCTTCTGGTTACAAAGGCCACGGTTATGTCTAGCTCATCCAACTTTGTGTCTTAGCGTTGCCATTAAGTCTTTCCCCTAAAACAAAAACCACTTCTTGTTTTCAGCTGCCAAGGGACTGAGCACCCTGTTGTTGCCAAGAGCAAAGCTGAGTCCAATTTAGAGACCTTGATTTTCATTATGTTTTCAAACCCTCTAATCAAGTCTTCTTTCTCTCACTCATATTGCCTCTCTCATATCTGTTTCTTTTCTCTTTGTGTAGTTTGTCTTAACACATGAAGAAAAACTTTTAAATGCAAAGAGAAAAAGGGATGGTAATCATTATAAATGACCCATTAGAACTGAAGCCATTCAACTTGCTTGTGTGAGCATACAAAGGTGTTTCTCTTTTCTGAAATACTCCACCGTACAGAGAACAGTGTATTCAGATGTAATTTCATATGATTACCCTCTAATACGAGTTCCTTTCCACAACTCTCTGTTGGTTGTGTTGGAGCACATAAACAAATTGCCTACAAGTAAATCCTGTCCATCAAACCTTTATTTTTCTTTCATGAAGATTCTAATTTGCAGCCAAACTCTGGCAATGTTGCCTCCCTATTGAAATAGCAAGAAAGGAAAATTTGAAGTTGGGAGAGACCTGGAAAAATCATTGTCACAAAAATTTGTCCTGAGTCAAATGTATTTCCTCCTTGAGGAAAAACGCCACAGCAGATGAAAAAGAGATCATCTAGTAAAAGGCAAAATTAAATAGTTAAATATAGAAGCAGAATGACTAAATTGCTATTATGGACTTAATTTGCAGCCAAATTAACTAATGAATCATTTTAACTAATACTGAAGAGAGGGCAACTCAGTTTGGGAAGACTGGTATAAAACTGACTTTTATCCATTATTTAATCCAAAAGCAGGGGTTCTTGTCCTGAAATCCTTAGGTGGATTTCAGAGATCTGTGAACTCTCAGATATTTGGGGGATATTTTTCTGAATGTGGGCATTTTTTTCTGAAAAATGATCTGTAGTTTCTGTCATGTTTTCAAAGGCGTCTAAGAATCACTGTTCTAAAATTATTTAAGGAAAATAGAAAAGTTGAATACTTAAATAAGTTAAAGTGTAGTGTTCATGAGACTAAAGATGTACATTTGAGGTCTTTTTCTTTGGAAGAGAGTCAAGTCAGGCCTCTCTGGATAGTTGCAGCAAAACCAGACTAGAAAACTCATGAATCGCTAAGAATTGGATTTAGATAGGCTCACTGTATGAAGTATGGCAACACTCAATGCTATATATATTTATATCAGTGACTTAACAAAATAAAACTTTGTTTCTCGGCTGGGCGTGGTGGCTCATGCCTGTAATCCTAGCACTCAGGGAGGCCGAGGCAGGTGGATCGTTTGAGCTCAGGAGTTCAAAACCAGCCTGAGCAAGAGCAAGACCCCATCTCTACTAAAAAAAAGAAAGAAAAATAAATGGGCAACAAAAAATATATAGAAAAAACTAGCCGGGCATGGTGGCGCATGCCTGTAGTCCCAGCTACTTGGGAGGCTGAGACAGTAGGATCGCTTGAGCCCAGGAGTTTGAGGTTGCTGTGAGCTAGGCTGATGCCACGGCACTCTAGCCAGGGCAATGGAGTGAGACTCTGTCTCAAAAAAAAAAAAAAAAACAAAAAAACCTTTGTTTCTCATTCACACAAAGTGCAATGTGGATATTCCTGGTCAATAGGCAGCCTTCCATGTGGTCATTCAGGGATCCAGGCTCCTTGAATCCTACAGCTCTGTCTTCCTGTGTGGTCTTGGAATCCTCTGTTAGAATCTCTGTGTCAAGCCAGTAGACAAGGAAAGAGAGAGAATGTGTGGAGGATCCCATGAGGGGTGGACGTCATTTCTACCCACATTCCTTCAGTCAGAATTCAGTCATCTAACCAAACCTAACCGTAAGGGAGATTGAAAAACTGTAGTCTAGTTTTTGCTCAGGAGGTAGAAGAAATGAATTTGGGTAAACACATAGTGTTTCTACCCTACCCACTTAAATGAAGCAACAGTACCAGGAAGCAGTTTGGGTAAAGAAGATATGCTGCTTTAGATACTGGGAGAAAGTCCAACATCATAGGCAGACCAGGGTATTCCACAGACGACAGGCTAGAAGACTGTGGCAGTGGCGGAACAGGAAGGCTTAGAGGAGGTAGAAAAGTGTCCAGAAGATGGGTTGGTGTCAGCAACATAAAGCCTATGAGCAAAAATGCTCAGAATTTCAGGCATGGAGGCAGGAGGAATTTGGGAAATCAGTTACTAGTAAGTAGTAAGTAGAGCCCTAGTCTCCCAATTAGTACTCCTACCTGAAGGTAGGAGTTGGGGATATGAGTAGGGTCAGACAAGAGCTAGGATGGATTAACCAAGGTCTGGGAAGATTATAGAGATGGAGGATACAGCACAAGGGCAGGTGGTCCAGGCAGACTGTTTACGAGATAATTTGTTCACAACCAGCACATCAGACAAAAGCCGTTCAAATTCCTCTTGCCCAAGGTCAGCATTGGTCCTGGAGCAGTGCAGAGGCTACAGACAGCGGTGAGATGATCTACCCTCAAACAGTATGCTTCTCAGTCACAGACCACAGCCCCAACTGACCCCAGCTCCCTCACAAATATCCACGATCGAACAGTATAATCAAATCATTGCAGACCCTTCAGAGTACAAAGCAGGTGCCCGCTGAGAGTAAAGAGGGGCTGGGGCGACATCTTTGAGTAGGAGAAATAATAATGAAAACAACAGCCAACACGTGCAAGACACTGTTCTTTTTTTTTTTTTTTATTTAAAGACTAGTAAAGTGCAGTAGTGAGGAGGGGAGTTAAGTAGTAGAACAAGGAGTTCAATCTGTAACTGACTGTGAACAATCAAGTGAGATAACTCACTACCTTCAGACCAGCCGAAGACACTGTTCTTAAGCTTTAAATATATGTAACCATTTAATGTGGACAAAAATCTTATGAAAAAGGTACTTTTACCCTTCTATAAAGGTACTATAAATGACCCCAATTTTACAGATTAAAAGCTGAGCAATGGAGACTTATAAGTGACTTTCTCAAGAAAGTAGTAGGCTGAGATTCACAGAGATTTGGTGCCAGAGTCAATGATCTTAACCACTATTCTATCCTTTCTTAGGAATTCAAGTTTGACCAATGTCTCCTATAAACTTTTACTCACTCAGTGGATGTGCCAGTGAAGATACACCCTGTAACTCTCCCACAGAGATCACATCGACCATTTTGTTTCCAGAAAGGTGCCCCATCCTTTTGGAATGAAGACTAAGTCGTGAACTTCCAAGAATAATACACGAACAATTCACTGGAATGACCATCCTCTCAAAGACTGCAGACTATAGTGCACTAACAAGCTTTGAAGTGAAATATGTCACAAATAAGTGACCACAGAATTTTAGGGCCACAGGAACCTTAGAGAGCATAGTAGCATCTATCTTAGTGTAGAGAGGTTTATTAGCTTGCAAAATGTCCCTTAGGAATAAAAGCAGGCAGTTCTAACTTGCATGGTAAAATGCAATCGAAAATTGTGTTTTACTCAGCATAAGGGAGTCACGAGGGTTAAGAGCCAGAAATTTCTGATGGTGATATATGTAACTGCCTCAATTCTTCGGTTGCTAGAGGGACTGAAAAAAGACAAAATGGTTCAATTTTATAGAATTTATTTTCAATGCAATAAGGAATCCAATATCTTATATAACTAATCAAGAATTATATAGTCATCCATCCATCCATGCATCCATTCATCCATCCAGGCATTTGTCCATTCATTTGCTAAAGCAGTCACTCATTCCAAAATATTCGCTAAGCCAAAATTTGTGCTAAATCCTAGGTACCTACGGCACTTTCAATCAATATTTTTCCTTCTGCCTGGTTTTCAAATTTTTAACAAGTCCAGTGTATGGGGATTCTAGTATATTCTAACGAACTTTATATCAAATATATTTCAGGATCCATAATCAGGCCATTAAGAATGGCATAGTTTAAAGCTCTATCCGTTAATCCAAACTAAAGAGTTGACTTAGGAGTATTTCCTTTGTTGCTCTGAGCCTCATTTTTTTGCTCCGAGATGTCTTTTAGATACCACATGCTTAATCTCAAGCTAAGGTGAACAAGGCTCAGTCAACAGTAAACTGCCTTCAGCATCAAAGGACTCAGATTTCTGCAAATTGTGTCTACGAGAGTTTTCAGGTCCTTGCTGTTCTTGTTGAAAAGTGCATCCATTGTGACAAAGACATGTATTCTGAGTTTTCTCAGAGGATAGTGGAAAACGGATCTCTGTACCCCTCTTCCCTGCTAGAACCAATTAGCATTGTTTGTGCAAATACTCAATTTGCACAATACAATTTTACCTCAGCTCTAAATAATTCTGCTTCAATGATCCAGAGTTCTACTACCCCTAAGAAATCCAAAATTATTTATTTTAGCATTTGGTTCTGCACCACATGAGAACATTATTTTCTGATGGTAACAAGGGAGAGGACTACTCAGGAAAGAAAACGAAGTACAATGTTAAGGTGCCAACTTTCTCAATATATTTATTCATGTATGTATTTGTGGCTGGAAAATTTTTTCCATGCTACAAAGTTTTATTAAAAACAAGTTGTTACAAATCAATAAATAATAGCTATAATTACTGTCTCTTGTAAACAGAGTAATAAACAGATGCAACTACTTTGCCCTACACAAGACTTTGAATTTTTTCTGTTATAAAACAGAAAACAAGTATCACCATTTTTCTTTCCTTGAGATACAATTTTTTATTGTTTCCCACTCGTCTTACCAGTTTCAGGTTTGTAATACACCAAAGCAGCACAAAGATTTCCATTTAAAATTTTTTTCTACCAAATAGGGGCTTATTTTCTGCCATGTGTTCACTTATCTATTACGAACAAAAAAAAAAGCAAAGCACAAAAATTAATGTATGTATGTGTGCTCAAGGCTGGAAATACTGACTGGTCTGAAAAGCTTTTTAACTAGCTGGGCATCAAAACCATATACAAGAGCCATTAAAAACTCACTTAGCAGCATGTAAATCACTGGGTTGGTCACTCAAAAACTGGACAAACAGAATTCCTGGATACTGTTTCCATTTGGGTTTTCCAACTCGTATGGTTCCAGCTGACGATACTCAAAAGTCACACGATTTATGTGTTTCCCACTGGAGACCATGCGCACCACAGTGTTGTCACAGCCAATTTTCATTTGGGCTATAATAGATGGAAAAATAAAAGTTTCCCAGAAGGTTAGAAACCACACAGTCGAATGGTCTCTGTCAACTGGATAATTTAAACACAATGAAAACCAGGGGACATAACCTCCTCTCACATACCCAAATCATGCATCTGCTATCAGGTGAAACGTTTTTGTTTTCACTTTCATTATAATACTGTATATAATTAATTATAGAATGGTAAAATTGAACTCAGCCTTTCTCCTCAAGTGCAAGAACCTTGTTATATCAACAAAACTGGCTGGATAGAGGCAAGATGTCTCCTGGCCTTTTTCATGGTCTCCTGTCTGCAAGGCTTGGGTGGTGAAGGCACGCAAGGGCATTTAGTCTGTCAACTCTGCAGTCTTGCTTGGGTTCAGTGCTTGTAGTGGGGGCAGTACTGCCCTCTAGGGACAGATTGGAAATTTGCAGGGGCAGTTTCTGTTTGCTACCGTATCTGGGGCGGCAAATGGCATTTAGTGGGCAGGGGCTAGAGGATAAAATGTACTGCTGGATATTTATGTAGACCACAAAAAAAAAAAATCACCTGTTTATTATTTTCTGAGTCCAGGTAAAAACTCTATTTTACACATAAACAAAAAAATAATTTGCATGCTATAGACATACACAGAATATACTAGCTTTTGTTCTATTGTCCACCTGCCCCTTTTCGCCCTCATTTTTTCCATATTTCTTATATGAAATGGCCTCTGCTATCCTTACTTCTGCAAAATCCAATCTTATTCTTTATCTGTATGAGCATCTGACAACTTTTAGATCTCTTTTAGTATAGGTGTGCCTGAGCAGTTACATATTGAAACTCATATTATTTTATTAAAAATTACTTGGGTTTTATTTCTCCAGCCTCAAGCTGGTTCCTGAGCAAGACTTATCTGCCCTGCAATCATATTTTCTGCTGTTTTAGTTTTCTCAATCTCCCCCACCCCTTGTCTCTATGAGACGTTTCTAAATTCTGAGAAATGCAAGCGTTGTCAGAGTGTAGCAGGTACTTCACAAACATGTATCTGAGTTTAAATGAAGTAAAACAATTCAATAGAGTTATTGAGATAAAAGTCAATTTGAAGACACAGTAAATATAAATCCTATAATTATTTTAATACAAGTACTAGAGAGTCTAGGTTAAGTTTCTACCAGGAGGTCCAAATATATTTTTCTTTATACAATTAGAAGGCAATCATTCTTTTTCTGGTCTTACTGTGAACTTTAATCTACACAACATGAACTGTTTACTTTAGTTAATGTGCCTAATATATATTATTTTGACATAATTCCTAATAAAATCCAGTTTAATGGGTAGGGTCTCTAATAGTTCCACATTGTCTGAACAACTTAGAAGGGCTCATGGAAACATGGTGAATGGGAGAAAAAAATAAACTCTCAAATGAACCAAAGAGTCATATAATTCAAGCCTTAAAATTTCATTTCATTCAAATTTCAAATATCTAGGTAATTTTGGCAAAAGTGATTTTTTGGCTTTGGTCTCACCCTTTTGCCTAATTCAAGTTCTATCATTCAAGCAGAAAAGTAACTCTGGCTTCAATTATCTAAATTTTAAGGCCTGGGTGCTCTTCAGTCCCATCCCAGTCTTATCTTCTTACCCAGTTCAAGTACATCCTCACCGGTGCTCTCCAACCATTAGCATGAGGTGACTCAACGCCTCCGACAGCGCACGCAAAAGGCTAGAGAAGCCCCGAGCACCAGCAGCTTAAATCAGGGCTCAAATTTCAATCAGCATAAAAGGATCCTTTAGTTTTCAGCAAAGTGAGTTTTTAGAATTTTTTTGCCTTTACCTTAATTAAAAAGCTTGCCTTGAGCCCAATCCTGCCTTAAATCTCATCGGAAACTTTTTTAACGCATGTGTATCTGGAGGAGGGTGGAGTACGTATCAGGCCTTAGTGCTTACCTGTGTACAGTCCCCCCTTGGTAACTGTGGGGAACTTGTTCCAGGACCCCCCACGGATACCCAAATCCACATGCTAAAGTCTCTTATATAAAAGGATGTAGTATTTCCATATAACCTACACACATCCTCCCTATACTTTAAATCAATGGTCCCCAACCTTTTTGGCACCAGGGACCAGACTCATAGAAGACAATTTTTCCACAGTCGGGGGTGGGGGGAGTGGGTTGGGCGGGGTGGAGGGTGGATGGTTTCCAGATGATTCAAGCGCATTACATTTATTGTGCAGTCAGACCTCTCTGCTAATGATAATCTGTGTTTGCAGCCACTTCCTATTGCTAGCATCACCGCCTCACTCCACCTCAGATCATCAGACTCTCACAAGGAGTGTGCAACCTAGATCCCTCGCATGCGCAGTTTACAGTAGAGTTTTCGCTCTTTTGAGAATCTAACGCCCCCATGATCTGACAGGAGGCGGCGCTCAGGCAGTAATCTCAGCAATGGGGAATGACTACAAATACAGATGAACCTTCGCTCACTCCCTTCCCTCACTCGCCCACCCCGCCGCCCACCTCCTGCTGTGCGGCCTGGTTCCTGACAAGCCACGGACTGGTGCTGGTCCATGGCTAAGGGGTTGTGGACAGCAACTTTAAATCATCGCTAGATTGCTTGTAATATCTAATATAATGTAAATGCTAAATAAATAGTTGCTATACTGTATTTTTTATTTGTAGTATTTGTATTTTTTTAATTGTGTTTTAAAATATTTTCAATCCATGGTTGGTTGAATCAACGGATGCAAAACCCATAGATAGGGAGGTATATGAATTCTGTTTCAGAGACATTTTATATATCAATTCTATTATTTTGTAGTGAATTATTCTATATGTTGATTCCACATCAGAGATATTTTGTTTATTAAGGTCCATATTAGCTCAGAGAGAGAAAATACTGGTGGGCTGACCTGGTTTTAATTATGAAAAGTAACCACTGGTGGAAAGGACAGTCTGCTTTGCCCGTTCCTTACCTAGCTGGTTAACAATCTGGGGTGAAGGAGAGGAAGGGGTGAGAATGGGAAGAATTAACTATGAGGTTTGAGACTGGTGTTCTTCCTCTTCTGTTTCACTTTCGTCTCTTTAAAGATAATCTAAGATTCCTGCACCTGAAGTACAGATATGGGAATGATCTTTATAGAAATGTTTTATGTAATCCTCTCCTCCCACCCCATGGGCTTGGCTGATAAGTTCGGTCACAAGGTCAGTAATTTCCACCCATCCTCACCCTACCTGAGCGTAATCAAATGGAAAATCCTCATTGGCTTCTGACAGAGAAGATCTGGTTGTTTGGTATGCTATGTTCTAAACGAGTCTTTTATTACTGGTGACCACTTACAGATTTCAGAATTTACCTCTGTGTTGCAGAGGCCTCTGAGGGGCTGGTTTAGCTGTTAGAAGTTGGGAACATTCAGCAGTTCTGAGAATTTCTGGTGAAGTTTATCACTTTGTTGTTTATTTACTATGAGTAATATATACATATATACATACATATATGGAAAACTTAGTTATTTCATTATCATACTATTACTAATTGATGATACATCTACTATGTGAGCCATAAATTTGCATTAGTAGGCAAACCCTTTACTCTAGAGGATGAAAGCAGGGACCCCCAAGAAGGTGGGAAGAGCATAGAATTAAAAAGCTTTGTCTTTTCACAGTTTTTCTTAGGGCCAAACTTAAACATATATCATTATTGCTTCATAGATTTCTCTCCCAATGTCAGATATTTTGGTAACAGATTTTGAAACTGTACATAGGCTCAAATGTAAAAATCCTCATACGGGCTCACTGTACAAAATTAAAGTCTTTTTGGTTAAACTTGTCTTCCAATGTATAAAAAATTGAGGGTGGTTTACTTTAAAAAATCTTGATAAGCACATAAATAATAATCAAAGAAATATCTCACCAGGGCCTTGAAAAGGGTAGCAAAGATCAGCTAAAGGCATCATCTTGGAAGGGTCCAATCCAGTTCCTCCCAGCAGCTCCACAAAGTCTCCTATCCCCCCACAACCTGCTGAGGATTTCTAAGGGGACAAAGCAACAGAGAAATATTTGTTTAAACCAAGTACAGAAGTCAAACCATTTGACCAACAGCAGGTTGGTAAATGCACTCAATCAGCCCTTAACATCCTGGCGGTGCCATTTAATTTAACATCTGGGACTCCGGAAATTAAAAGACATTTAAAGGGAAAAAAATCCATAAAGATTGCTTTTCTAAATCAGTTGAGTAATCATTTTTTTAAAAAAATGTGTCAGTGCATGGTTTTTTTTTCCCCTCAAGCTGAAGGACTGGAATGATAAAATGGGAATCTGTAAACTCCATATGAGATGTATGAAAATTGAACCTGAAAATGCTTTGCTTTTGAATCATTTGGACATACATACTGAATTACTTGAATTTCTTAATGCAGTCAGAGTTAAACCAAGTCAAATACCTGCATTTTATAAATAGGGCTTTCACTTTGGTTTTTTCTTCACCTCACTTCATTTCCTCTTTTTTGTGAAGGAATTTTTCAGCTATTGGAACATATCATTTCTGCCCATAAGGATTTAGATTAATCATGCATATATTTAAAAAGAATAAAACACTGATTTGGGGCCCAAGTTAGCTAGAATTACCATCATTTTTCTCCTTTCAACTAAAACAAATTTATTTTGAAAAACTCAAAAGAATTGATTCTAAGACTTTGTGTGGTCCACTGTCACCACCTTTCTCGGCTTCCCTTCATTCTTCCCCCACTGTCTCGTCTACAGCAATTCCTGTGTCTCACTTTCCCACACAAACAAAGCAGCCACTCTCAGTCCAAATGTTGCACTTTGGGCCACCCACCTGCTATAATCAGGGCTGGCCTCATGGGCATGCCACCTGTGCAGCCATATAGGACCACGCCTAGCAAGGCCCTGTGCTTGGTTTGATGCTCTGCTGCATTCTCAATAAATTTGTAATAAGGGCCCCTACATTTCCATCTTGTACTGGCCCCCACTATTTGTACAGCCAGTTTTGTCCATCATCCTCTTCTTCATTGGGGTATGCTCATTAGCAGATCTAGTAGAATGTGACAAGGTCCTCAGTAGTTAACCAGATAGACCCTGACACATACAAACCAAGATCTAAAATAGAGAACTTGGAAAACACACACATACGTGAGCACACACATTCAGACATTTAGAAGGATGTTGAAATACAACTGGAACTAAACAATAAATTGGAAAATAATATAATGGCAACTGTTGACTAATGAAGGGAGGCAAGTGGGGATACAGACTTTTTAAGGGCTTACCTACTGCACACTGGGTTCTATGCTTAGGTGCTTTACACATAATTTCATCAACTGATGAAACAGAGGTTTAATTAGCCCCACTGTGTACAGGGCGTCATGTTCTTGTATTGAGAGTTGAATAAGCCATTTATGGGTGAAGGAAAATCCCTTAATTGCCTTTCCCTGGAGTGGAGGATGTCCAGGAGGATCATCTCTTAAGACTAAACTTTCCATTTGGTTCTGTGGGTTCTAAATTTCAGCAGATCGTCTTGAAGGGAAAAAGGCAGACTCAGGACAGAGAAATGGGAAATAAGGAAGTTGGGAAGTGGAAACTAAAGTGAGGAGAACAAAACAAGGAAACAAGGCAGTTGGGTGCACCTATTCCTTGGTGTTCAATGACTTTTCTCTCCTCTTTGCAAACCTCTCGGCTTTTCTTATAAACAGTGGCAGAAAGTGAGTGATGTAGGGACCTCTCTGAGATTCAGTTCCACAGCAGTGACCCCCTAGATGTCTTAGTTGAGGTTCTAAGGCACCATTATTTTTTGCCTAGACTACAACAATGTACCAGAGGAGTACCTGTACTCCTTGTACCAAACATAAGATCCAAACACCAACTCAATGTGCAAAATGTAAGGGTTTTTTTTTGATGGAACTCACCTTCCTATATATAAGAAATCTGGAGTGTTTTATTTAAGAAAATAATCTTGATAGGCACATTAATAATAATCAAAGAAACTTCTTACCAGGGCCATGAAAAGGATAGTAAGGCCCCTACAGCCCATTCACTGCAAGTAAGCCAGAATGATTTTTTAAACAGTATAAGTCAGATCATGCCACTTTCCTGCCTGAATCCTTCCAGTGGGTTCCCACTGTACTTAGAATAAACTCAAACTCCTTAATATGGCCTGCAGGGCTCTCCACACTCTGGCCCTGCCCATGTCCCTGAAGCTGTCTCATGCCACACCTGCCCATCTTGCCTTCTTTCCATTCTGGGAACCCAGCAAGCCCATTCCCGCCTCTGAGCCTCTGTACTACTCTTCCCTCTGGTCCCTGTTCTTCCTGTGGCTGCTGGATCCTTCTGACCTATCACTCAGGTCTCACTTCTGAAAAGGTTTTTTTCCTGGCCACCTTATTTCAAGCAGCCTCCTGCCCCTCCCTCCAGCCCCCTGTTCCCAGTCACTGCCTATCCACCACTTTGCTGCATTTTCTGTACGGCACTTACCACTATTTGAAATACATGGCAACTTTGCCTGTCTCATCCCACTAGAATGCAGGGTCCCTGTGAGCAAGACCTGTCTTGGTCATTGCTAATTTCCAGCATCTAGAATAATGGCTTGCGCAAGGTAAGCATTCAGAAATATTTTCTAAAGGAATAGATGCCTAGAATCCTGTAGGCTCTAAATTATTCAGAGGAAAATACCAAGATTACTCCTTACAACCTTAATAACTAAAGTGCAGCTCTCCCAAACTGTGATCACACCTGACATCTTCTATATTTTACATCAAGAATGACACACTAACAATATTAAGCTGATAAGTCTGTACCAAAGGTACCCAAACACATCCTTATCAAAGAATTATTCTTTCACTCAGTTCCAACTAAAAAAGATAGGCACTGGTCCATGAATTTAGGGCTTAAAGGAAATTGGATATACTCCTTTTCTCAGTCCTGGTTCTATTTATTTGGTGTTCACTAACATCTGTCTGATTAGGAACTGTGACTGTCTTTGATAGCAGCAAATACATGAGTTATCTTAACCTAGGCATATGAGACAGTAAAAGGAAATGAGGATGACTCAGAGGGAAGAAGCCATGAGTGCAAGTAGATATGGTCAAATTTCTAAGGTCCATACAGAAGTTCATTTGAAGACAAATTGATGGGGATTCTCAGCTAATATTTTTAAGGCAAAATATACTGAATTACCTGAAGAGTATTAAAATACTCTTCAATACTTTACTGTATTTTGCGATATAAAAATCCAATTTTGTATTTTATGCTAGAGTTAGCATTCCTTCATAACACAGTTCTGTCAATGAGATACTTCCTTCATGTCAAAAGAAAATTCCAATAATCAGAAAAACAGCTGTGTAGATGACTCATACTAGGTTCTGCTAGGAAAGAATTTCTGTAAAAGAGGCAAGTACAAGAGAGTTCAATTGTAATTATATACCACAACTTTACCAGTTGAAAACATTTCTTACATCATGAGGAAAGTATTCAAGCAGTCAGGATGGGCACCTGAGTATGCGACTTGCAGCATAACTAAAATAGAAGAAGGGTTTAGTTACAGCAGCGAGGGCAAGCACGTGGGGTTTCAGAGTCAATCAGAGGGATGTACTACTCCAATTTGCTAATGCCCAGGTTTGCCCTGGATGACTGCTTCTGCTCTGACAAAGTCGTGGCCTTACAAAAATGACTGGGAAGCAAGTAAGCAACTCACCTTTAACTGAAGACCATTTAAGTGTCCCAGGGTGAGATCAGATATTTTGATCACCACAGGATAAATTATGGAGAAGCTGCAGTTGCGATGCTGGTGTGGAACTACCAGGGTGAACTTTCCATTTGGGGTCTGAGAGATGACATTGCAGGCTTTGTAGAAAAAATAAAATCACATTTGCATTACTTGGTTTGCTGGATTTTTATAGGAGTTTATTGTATATCCTTATTCTAGGCTCCTGTTCATGGTCTAGGGCCTTCTGCCTGGGAAGAGTTATATGTATCAACAAAGGCAATTTGGAGACAGGCAGGAGATGGGGAATAAAAGTCATCGGTGACATGTGGACATTGTCAGGAGGCCCTGGGCTGCAGGGTCTGCTGATCTTAATCTCAGGGGGTTACCTTGTTTATAACAATCACAAGACATAAAGCAATAACTGAACGAACAATACTAGCTGGTAGTAGTTCTAGGAGCATTTCAGTTAACCAATGTCCAGGTTCGAGTTAGGAATCTGAAAGAATCAAGGCTTTGAGGTGAGGCCAGAACTCAAACCCTGTCTGCCTGAAGCCCTCATTCATAGAATTTGGAGCCATAATGTTATTTTTGAAATAATAAAGTAAAGAAATAATTTCATTTAAAGTACTTTCTAATAGTGATGAAATAGGCTAAGAAAAAATAAAAAGACACCAGGCTTAAGTCTGAAGAATATTTGCCGGGTGTTAAGTGATAAGTTGACTAAATGGTAAATTTTTAATGTTTAGTTTACTCACAAGAATTTCTAAAATTTTTTGTTTCATATCTCATATCTAGATTTACAATATATTTATTCTTCTAGCTACGAAACTAGAAGCATCAGAATTTGTACTTTTTTGGTGATATTGAGACAAAAGTTTCTGATTGATCAGAACTACCTCTTGCTGCCTTCTTGTATTTTTAATTACATTTAATTTTAAAAAAACTGAAATTCCTTGATGCTTCTAGAAGGTTTCTCATTTCTAAGAAAACAAAATATAGGGAAAATATTTTATTTTGTCCTCTAGAATTATTTTGCACCATTGTTCAGAAATAGCCTTTTTGGCAGGGTCTTCTTTCAGAAATTCTTTTAAAAAGAGAAATCAGAAGATCAGTAGTACATTATTCTTTGGCAAATTAGGCCCCATCCTTCAACTACATAAAACGTTAATATAAATACTATTGCATGAAATCTAAAATGAGTGACATGCTTTCTTCTTATCTTTGGAAAGATTTTTCTCTTAATAGGGAAAAAAAACAATAAACAGAGGAGTAAGCTCATTTTGATTAAGATAATGTGCTTTAGGCCCAGGCTGTTCAGTTTTAGAGCACAATCTATGTGAGTGTCAATCAGAAAGGAAGTAAACTAGAGTGGCGGGCTGAGAATCAGAAGGCAACATTGAGGTGCTCTGGTCAACCCTCCACTCAGGGCATGACATCTGTCTACTACATCCCAAATATGCAGCCTTTAAGCCTTTGCCTAAATATCTCCAGGACTATAACTTCATATCTGATCCCGCAAGCTTATCTGGGATCAGTAGGATGACTTGGGAGATTAAAAGTTTGTCACTGAATGCATTGTAATACCTTAGGAGATCAGAATAAGACTTTGGAAAAAAATAGAATTGTATTTAGTATACATAAATTAGTATACTACCTAGCCTGGGAAATAAATTCATAACCATGAATAGAAAATACCCCTTAGGTCATTTCTAATGAAAACAAAATTGCCATTCAAATCATTCCTCAGTTCAAATTTCTCAAGTCCATGCAATGATATTACCTCTGAAAAGCAGGTTTGACACCCAAGTTCTGCCTTTTAACTGACAAGACAGGGAGCCCACTTACGAAAGAGGTTGGGATCTGTCTTTATGGTTAACGTAAATCCATTTCCTGGTTCATGGACCCGGAAGAAGATCATGGCCACGTTCTGGGAGGATCTAATGCTCCTCCTGCTCAGACCACTCTCGCAGAAATCTATATACCGCTCCGTCGTGGGGAGAGGATGATCCTGGGAACTGGGGAACTTCTCCCCCTTGAGAATCCAACCATCAAATACCTTTCAAAAAATATAGACATAGATGCTATCATTTCCATCAGCTCCTGAAGTCATGGGTGTGTTGAAAGAGGGAAAAAGTTATTCAGCAATGGGCCTTCAGTCATAAGTGAGGAATACACAGCCTACCCTCCCTTCCTGCTTGCTTTTCATTTGAATATTTTTTTGACTTTGTGAGTTGTTTGCAAGTAATATTAATTAATTAATGCTTATTTTTCATTACAAATAAAGCTTTCAAAGTAAATCAACTGTCCTGTATTTATTTTATCATTTCAACCACCTTGGTAAGTGAAACTACAGGCAATGTACATTTTTATCTTGGTCACATTTTCCACATCCCACCTTCAGAAGAATTCAACAGAAACATAACTTGGATTTTGTTCAACTGCTCTCTTTCCTGTAGTCATTGAAATGTGAACAAAATATCTCAAAGATAGGTAGCAAAAGAAAAAACTGGAGCAGCAACTTTACCTGCCAATGGTTATTTATGCCCATTTTTATCTTTTTTTTTTTTATCATCACATACTACTTTAAAATATCAAGAACTGCTTCAACAGTGAGGCAATGATGGCTGCTATGCCAGTTGGGACTTTTTCCCTTCACTTGTTAAACTTTGCAGTTGGACAAAGGGTCACTTTCTATTGACTCTACTCCCCAAATCACCACATGTCTCCAGTTTAATCAGTCCAGTCTAGTCCACATGAACAAAATTGCCAGCAACCTAGCTACAAATTATTTCCAACGTGGTTGCCCGCTTTCAAAGTAATTCTACTTTGGAGGTTTTAATCATGATTATTTTAACTGGACAGTAGAACTCCATCAGCCATTCTAAGCTGACCTGTTAGACTTATGGACACTGACGGGAAGCGGGGATGTTGCTGATTTGGGGGGCTTGTCCTCTCCTCCACCTGTCTCAAACTAGATTCCCCCTCAGCATCCTTCGCAGCAGCCAATGCCCTACTGCTCCATAATTGTGTCGCCCAGGCATTGAAGACAGCCTCTGCGCGCTTGGAACAGCTCCGCCAACAGAGGGACCAGCGGGAGCGAGGCGGACCCAGATCTCAGACGTGAGCGTGGGGCGAGCCCTCTAACCAGGACCGGCCCGTTCGGTGGACTGGAGCACTGGTTCCTAGTTAGTTTTTACCGTATTTCTTCTGCCCCAGATTGCGTCATGCAGCATTTCGCGCTGCGAGTTCAAGTCTTTAGGAGTTCCCAGTGCCTCGAAAGCGCATAGAAGGCAATTAAAACCATTGCAGCGTTCAGAGGCACCAGCTCTACGGGGTGTGGGGCGAGGTCTAGGGGTTGGGGCGAGCTTTTCGCCGCGTGAGGGTCCCCGAGCGCGCCTCTCCGGCTCGGGCACCAGCGGAGTGTCTAATGAAGGGTTGTCGCCGGCTCCCCGCGCTCGGCAGCCCCAGGCTGGGCGCATCGCTCAGCCCTTTCCAACACTGGCGCGCCCCTCGGCTGGGGCTGCGCGAGGCAGGGACGCCTCACCTTCAGGAAGTCCCCGCCCTCACAGTCGATGGAGACCAGGTCGTAGTGGATGGTGATGAACTCCTCGGGCTGGCCGATGAAGAAGGCGGCGCAGTGCAGCTGCGGCCGGTCGGCGGTGAAGGTGAACTGGCCCTGGAGGCTCAGCATGTCCAGGCACCCTGGGGGAGGGAGGGCACGGGGCCGAGAGTCCCGGGCTGCAGCCACCGTGGCGCCGACCTTGGGCAGCCCCTCTGCGCGCGCCCCCTTCCCCGGCTCTGCAGCTCCCCAGCTCCCAGCCTCAGCTGCGCCGGGATCCCGCGCCCCGGGGTGCGTCACCCCCTCTTGTCCAGGGCGCGCCTCCTCGGACCGATCCTTAGCGGCGGGAATCGCGGCACTGGCGGGACCGGCCAGCCCTTCCCGGAGACGCCCGGGCCAACCTCCCGCCTCCCCGGGGCCCGCGGACGCCAGCCCGGCAGCCCCGACTCACGCAGAGCGCGGCGGTACGGCTGCTCCGCCGCCAGCTCCCGCTTCAGGTTGGCGCTGAAGAGCGGGAAAGGGTCGTAGTCCGCCGCTTCCCGCAGCTAGCAAGGAAAACCGGTCAGTCCGGAAAAGTTCAAGGGGTGGGAAAGAAAAGGGACCGGGAGCGGGGCACCCTCCCCGCCGCTCGGCAAGCGAATAAAGAGAGGGGGCTCAATGTCTCCCCGAGTCCGGAGAAGACGGGACGTTGACTCCTCTCCATCGGACCAGGGTAGCCCCCAGCGGCCAGAGGAAGGCAGGCAGTCGGGGATGCTGAGGGGCTGGGGGGAAGACCGGTCTAGGGCAAACCAGGGGAAGAGAGGCTCCAGCGGAGAGGAACAAAGAGCAAACCCCCAAGAGGCTGAGGACAGAGGCAGCCTGCCTGCCGCCCAGGGCTGAGCACTCACGCAAGGCAGGTGCGATGGGTCGACGCAGGGATGGCTCACCTCTAGGTACCGGCTCTCCCCTCTGAGAGCCACCAGGAAGATCAGAATGAAGTGGCACTGAAGTTTGAAGTTAGGTGACATGCTGGCCTTGCGTCGGCAGCTGGTATGCTCTGCTCCGGAGGTCTTGGGCTTTCCTTCCCACACCTTCGCGCAGCCTGAGAGCTAGAAGCTGGTAGGGTCCCTTTGCTGGGTCTCTTTTATAGAGCAGTGGGGAGCGGAGGCTCTCTGCCCCTTCCCGATCGCAGCTCAGTAACCATGGGTTACCCTGTCTCATTGACAAAGTACGTGGCGATGACGAGGGTCCGGCTCTCAGCCACAAATCTTCAGCGTGGCCCAGCATTATTCACCAAGAATGATTCCAGTCGCTACAACTTAGCGAGCTGAAAATGTAGGATTAAGAATGAGGCAGGGACGAAGAATAAGGGAGGGCATTTTCTTGACCTGCCAAATGGTACATTCTACTCTTCTGTGGACATTGGGGGAATTTTCAGTTTTGCAAATCAAAGTAACAAAGTTACACACATGCATAAAATACCCAAACACTTAGAAGGTTATCATGCAGCCTCATCACATAACCTTGGATGGAATCGTGCTGGGAATTATCAAAGAATTTAGTACTCATGCAATGGCTCATGCCTGTCAGTAAGAAACTTGAGACATTTTCAGCTCTAAAGAGAGGCTGACAGAAGTCAAAGTCTGATTTTGCAGAATATTGCAATAATGCAATTACAGGCTTTCTTCCTGTCCCTTAATCTTTGTTTTATTCTGTTGCTGTTTCTTAATAGTATTTCCTTAGTGGAAAGCTAACTCTGGTGTCAGTGGACTTCTGGATTTTAGCTGAGCTCTGCAACTTGCCCTGAGTGTTTGTATGATGTGCACACTCCTGAGCCAGGTAACTGTGTTATGACCTCAGCATCCATCTGGATCACTGAGGGATTAAGTCATTCCATTTCATGCCTTCAGATACCTGGGTTACTTTAACCTTCTGGTGGAAAGAACTACTGAGAAGCTCTATTATAACTGCTCACCAGCAAATTTACGGGGCTAAACAAATGACTTAGAAATCCAGAAATGAGTATAAGCTTATCTTTGCTGATTAGGAGAGAAGAAAATTGTTCTTCTGTGTGTCCAGAATTGTGGGATATATAGGGATGCTCCACTTTTGACTCTCCTACCCCTTTCCAGTCTATGCACTAAGCACCATTATTAAAAATTTTTACAAAATAATGAGACCGTAATACAGGATTTTAACAGAATGAAATGGCTGTATTTTTAGTTTAAACCTACTCAAAATTAAACAGTAATTAGTCTAGTGGTATCAGAACTTGACATTTTTATGTAGGAGACAATTCTGAGCCACAGAGAGTATGAGGGAAAAGAACACCCAGAGGTCATGAATGCTGGCCACCATGTCCTTCTCCCACTCCCAGGGACTGTTTAGAGTCTGATTTTTAGAAAGGGTGTTAAAAAACCTGAGAGGAATAAAAAAGGAGAAAAACAAATGGCTTAACCCCACCTTGGTTGGCCTCAAACACGCCAGGCCACCTTCGGGTCTGTCTCCCACACCTCTGTGCCTAGAGGGAGACTCAGACACACTCACCTGGCATGGCCCACACTCCTTTCCTGCCTGCTTAGCCTTAGCCTTGGCCTGCTCCCGGGAGTCAGTCCAGCACTCACCTTGGACACCTCTGTCTTTCCCCCCTTGGGGGTCTGGCACCTAGTGTCACTCCAGCTTGGTGCTGCTTTATTAGCACCACCAAGGAGACATTCTTCTCCAGCCAGCCCCTTCACACACCTCCACACACACACACACACACAAACACATGGACAACGATGATGTTCCCAATATGCCTTCATGATGCTTCCTCCTCAGGAACCACACGCAGCAAGAGCTGGGATGAATGAGGGCCAACACAACGACTGATTTTACATAATATGATAACATAGCTTCTGATTTTATTAATACATAATAATCCACACATTGTACTATAAAATGAACTTCATCCCCACCAAAGCCTATGTGAAGAAATTACTGTGTAATTTTCACCAGCTTAGTAAATATCTACTAAGCCAGTAGAAACTGCTTTTTTTATTTCTAAAATATTTATTGAATTATAAAATCTATAACTATACTTGAGAAAGAGCTAAGATATTGCCAAATATTCCCCATTATTTACAACTTAAATGTTGCCAGTAAAGTACAAAGAAATTTACATAATAAAGAATATTTCTTCTAAAATACAATTTACTTTTAAAGAAGTTTGTCTCTATAGTCAATCTCTATCTTTTTTTTTTATTTCAGCATATTATGGGGGTACAGATGTTTAGGTTACGTATGTTGCCCTTGCCGCCCCACCCAAGTCTGAGTTTCAAGTGTGTCCATCCCTCGGATGGTGCGCATTGCACTCTTTGTGTACGCATATACCCGTCCCCTCCTCCCTGCCCGACATCCAGTAGATGTTATTCTTATATGTGCACTTATGTGTTGATCAGTTAATACCAATTTGATGGTATTAAGAAGCACATGTGGTACTTCTTTTTCCATTCTTGGGATACTTCACTTAGTAGAATGCATTCCAGCTCTATCCAGGAATATACAGGAGGTGTTATATCACCATTGAGAAACTGCTTTTTTTAAAAAAAATAATAAAAATAAGGATAATTAGGCCAGGTGTAGTGGCTCATACCTGTACTCCCAGCACTTTGGGAGGCTAAGACGGGAGGATTGCTTGAGGCCAGGAGTTTGAGGCTGCAGTGAGCTATGGTCGCACCACTGCATTCCAGCCTGGGTGACAGAGCAAGACCCTGTCTCTAAGGAAAAAAAAAGTAAAGGTAATTGAAGGATGAAAACTATAACCTATAGAGGAAAACTTAAAAGATAAAATTAGAGGACAAAGAAAAGCCAAATAGCAATTCTCTTAATGAAAGTATTAAAAATGGGTGAGAATGGCGGAAGAGTAATTTGGATTAGGCAGAAGAAAATTTCTGGGCAATAAGTAGGTGTATGTTTGAGGACGGAGGATAAATTGTTTTCATGGACTTATTTGGTCATTCACATAATTAGCTTATTATGTGAAAGCTAATATTTACAATTAGCTGTTTGTTCAACCAAATTGTCACCTGTGTTAAGCTTGAAGGACAAAGTGGCCACACAATATCAGATCCACATTCAATCCATGAACATGGGGTGGGAGAATGCTGAATTTAAAATTATGCTGAAGAGGTGCAGACAGACTACATCTAACTAGCATGCAGAGGGACTTTGTGGCCTAGAAACACAGCCTACAACATGACTGTGATAGCCAAGTGCAAGCCTGCAGAGTCTCTGCCACAGCTTATACACTGAGGTGTCGGGAGCAGCAAAGGGGACTACATAATCTCATGTCTCTTTCTATTCTAGGGTCCCATGATCCCATTAACTGCCATGTGAGTTGTATTTAACTCACACTAGTTTTGAGCCCGGGGCCTCATGAAGCATATGTATTAATAACTCACACGTCTTTTCACCTTAGGAGCCTCAAGAACTACTTTTCAAGTTGCTTGTAACTCACACATGGAAAACAATAAAAAATAACAAATTTTCATAAACTTAGAAAGGATCATTTTGTTTTCGAAGTTTTTATTCTATGTTCGTAATAAAATACCGTGGCCCCAAGGGGGAAAAAAATTTTTTTTCTAGTGCGGCAGTCAACATGTTAAGTATTTCCTCCCTATAATACTAAATTTTCTCTTTTGTTTGTCATGTCAACAGAGAACATCACCAATACATGCTGTAGAAGAACTTCCTTTTTCCTTTCTTGGCCAATTTGTTGAAATGTTGGAAAATGGAATATATTATTAAGTTCTTCAAGAAATAAAGATGGGGTGGATAAACTTACTATAGTTAGCCAACAAAAACAACAGCAAAACAGTTTTCAGTTGCTTTCAAGATGACTTTTTGTTTGAATGAATTTGGTTATTATTTTCTACTTTATTGTGGTAAGAATACTTAACATGAGATGTACCCTCTTAACAGACATTTAAGTGCACAACACAGTATTGTCAACAATAGGCACAATGTTGTATAGCAGATCTCTAGAACACATTCGTCTTGCATAAGTAAAACTTCATACCCATTGATTAGCAACTCCCAATTTCATTCTCCCCTAAACCCCTGGCAACCCTCATTCTACTCTCTGCCTCTATGAGTTTGACTACTTTAGATACTTCACATAAATGGAATTGTGCAGCATTTGTCCTTCTGAGACTGGCTTATTTCATTTAGCATAATGTCCTCAAGGTTCATCCGTGTTGTAGTATATGACAGGATTTCCTCCTTTTTAAGGCTAAGTAATATTCCATTGTATGTATATACCACATTTTCTTTATCCATTTATCAACACGTAGGTTGTTCCCACATCTTGGCAGTTGTGAATAATGCTGCAATGAACATGGGGGTACAGACATCTCTTTGAGACACTGATTTCAACTCCTTTGGATAAATACCCAAAGGTGGGATTGCTGGATCATATGGTAATTCTATTTTTAATTTTTTGAGGAAACTTCACACTGTTTTCCGTAATGACTGTGCAAATTTATTTTCCTACCAACAGTGTACCAGAATTCCCTTTTCTCCACATCCTTGCCAACGGTTATCATCTTTCATCTTTTCGATGCTAACCATCTTAACAGGTGTGAGGTGATATCTCATTGTGGATTTAATTTGCATTTTCTTGATAATTAGTGGTGTTAAGCATCTTTCCATATACCTGTTAACCATTTGTATGTCTTCTTTGGAGAAATGTCTAAGTCATTAGCCTAATTTTTAATTGTATTATTAGTTTTTTTGCTATTGAGTTGTAGGGGTTCATTATATATTTTAGAAATTAACCCCTTATCAGACATATGGTTTGTAAATATTTTCCCCCATTCCTTAGCTTACCTTGTCTCTTTGTTGATTGTTTCCTTTGCTATGCAGAAGCTTTGTAGTTTGTAGTCCCACTCATCTATTTTTAGTTTTGTTGCCTGTGCTTTTGGTGTCATATCCATGAAGTAATTGCCAAAATCAATGTCATGAAGCTCTTTCCTATGTTTTCTTCTAGGAGTTTTATAGTTTCAGGGCTTACATTTAAATCTTTAATCCATTTTGAGTTGTTTTTTGTTATGATATAAAATAAGGGTTCAATTTCATTCTTTTACACGTGGATATCCAGTTTTTCCGACACCATTTATGGAGAGGCTATCCTTTCCCCATTGTGTATTCTTGGCACCCTTTGTTGAAGATGAGTTGACCATATATGTGTGGATTTATTTCTGAGCTCTTTATTCTGCTCAATTGGTCTAGATATCTGTCTTTATGCCAGTACCATGTTGTTTTAATTACTGTAGCTTTGTAATATGTTTTGAAATTAGGAAATGTGATGCCTCCTGCTTTGTTTCTTTCTCAAGATTTTTTTGGCTAGTTGGGATCCTTTGTAGCTTCATATAAATTTTAGGGTTGTTTTTCTACTTTTATAAAAATGGATTTG